AAAAAAAAAAAAAAAGAAAAAACCTTCTCAAACCTTGAACAAAGTCATCTGGTCCAGATTAACAGCTTTAAATAATGCTAGGCTAATTCCCACTTTTTAGGAATGAGTAGGAAAGACGCAGTGGGAAAGACACATTCTAGAATGTTACAGCCTTCCTTTAAGGAGATACTACAGGCTACTCACCCCAGGGCCCAGCTACTCGAAGAACAGCCAATGGATTGGAACGTCCTAGGACAGATGCCACGGCTTTGACCCAGGTTGGGGGTGCAGGGACCTCACTGGGGTTAGTTGGTCGGAGGGGAAACCCCCATGGGTCCACCAGGATGAGGTGTTTAACTCTACATTAAAGGCAGAAAGAGGAGAAGACACATTATATTCTCTGGTAGGTGCCATAGCCCCTTAAATCGGGAATGAAAGAACTTTGGAAATGAATACTGGAAAGTTCCCAGTAAGGCCAGGAATTAGGTCACAAGGGATGGTGGCATCTCCTTATTACCTATCAGGGTACTTGATTGAGTAAGAAGTGGCCAGGAATCCTCCCAAACTGTGTCCCAGGAGGATCATGCTGGGGATCCCCATGGTCTCCCGCCATGTCTCTATCGAGGTCACAAACTCATCCTCAGCCCCCTCTGGGTCTCTTGGGAATGCTGGCCTTGAGCTTCGTCCAAAGCCAAGCAGATCGAAGGTGTGCAGTGTGCGGCGGGCACTCAGTGAGTCCATGTTGAGGATCCAGAGGCCCACGCCGCCCCCAAAGCCATGCACCATCACCAGAGGGGTGCGGTCCTTTTGCTCGGGGCTCACAGTCACCGTCCAGATCTTATTCTGGTTTGGGAGGGACACATATCTAGCCAGGAACTTATTCTGGAGACCTGGGAAGGAAAGAATCCCATGGTAAATCAACAAGTCTGTTTCCTGACAGCATCATCATTTTGCCTGGACTACCACTCTTCACATCTCTTCATTCACCAACCCTCCCCAACTTCCCTCAACTCTTTCCTCCCACGACCCTCAGACCACTGAAGACGACTCTGTCCTTAACCAAACTTTAGGCAAGCCCTTTTGAGCCCTCTTCTTAACTCGGCTTTGACCCTGGCCCTAGCTCAGACAGCGCTTTGCCCTGTCTTCCACAAGTCTAGCAAGAGCCTGATAAGTCAAGATTAGTAAGTCATACTAAGTCAGTAAGAATTCTTTTATATCTGATCAAGTTCCTCATCCCTCACCTTTGACCTTCCTTTAGCAATGATCCTGTTAAACTGGTTTGAAAAGAACTCCCTTTATCTTTGATATCTCTTCTTAGTAATTTTCTATACACCGATTCCCCACCTCACCCTGCAGCTTTGTTATAAATCCACACCAGTCATTTACTGTATTCAAGAGTTGAGCCTAGGCTGGGCGCTGTGGCTCATGCCTGTAATTCCAGCACTTTGGGAGGCCGAGACGTGTGGATCACCTGAGGTCAGGAGTTTGAGACCAGTCTGGCCAACATGGCAAAACGCCATCTCTAGTAAAAATACAAAAAATTTGCTGGGCGTGGTGGTGGGCACCTGTAATCCCAGCTACTCAGGAGGCTGAGGCAGGAGAATCGCTTGAACCTGGGAGGTGGAGGTTGTAGTGAGCTAAGATTGCACCATTGTACTCCAGCCTGGGCAACAAGAGTGAAACTCAGTCTCAAAACAAAACAAAAAACAGTTGAACCTGATCTATCTCTCCTATTGCAATAGTCTTGAATGATCTTTACCAGTTTAATTTGTCAGAATCGCTTTTTCTTTAACACTACGCATTGTAAAGAATTAAACTCCAATGACAATTTATAGACCATTTAGTCTGTAGGTAATAAGCAGGGCCATCTTATCCCTTGAAACATATGCCCAGCTCCCTTTAGGCCCCGGGTGGCAGTGATACCACCAACCCCACAGAGCTGTTGCATCCATTGCTCTTGAACCTGTGTGTGCTTGGGGCTTGATAGATGGATAGAACTGTGGTCCAGCCAGTTGGAGGGAGTGATGGATGTGGCCTGAGCCTTGGGTGAGAGACTGAGGTGGGGCAGTGCTTGTTCTGCTGGTGTGAGCTGCCTGGGTGAAGCAGCCTAGATCCTGGACAGAGGCTTGAAAGCTCTGGCTGCTGTTTGTCTGCACATACTTGGGCCCATAAGCGAGAAGGTAGCTATGGCTGGGGCAGTAGGGGTGTGGTGGAGGAGATCATATGGGAAATATGGGAAGAAGGGGCTTAAGGGGCTTGTTTGAGCGAGTGGCTGCTGCTGCTAGTGGGATGCTCTGCTGCATTATAACAGTGCTGATGAGGGCTGGTCTGCAAATCACAAACTACTGTGGTAACCAGATAGGTGGGGGACCAAAATCAGGTAGAACACAGAGAATAGTAATATCAGAAAATGCAAGATTGCTGATCCAAGGGTCTGCAGGTGGTAAATCTAAGAAGTACTTGTGTGGGGAGAAGAGAGGAGAGAAGGAAGAAGAGAGAAATGGGGGAGAAGGAAGGAGGAAGGGGAGAATGTGTCTGTGTGTGTTCACCAGCACTGGCACAGCGTTTGAGGTGAAGTGGCAGGAACTAGTACATGGCTAGAGAGATGGTGAGGAACCACTATCACAGGATATGGTGTCCTCTGTATACACCTCTTCCCTCAAATAACTGACATCCTTTCCTCCCACCCCACACACTGTTCATTAGCAATCAGTGGACTCAAGTAGCAGGCTCTGGGAAGATCCTGAATCTTTCTTGGGCCCCATGAGGGTGGGACAAGCTGTCCATTCTACTTACACTGGAGGATCCTGGCTTCCACATTCTTCAGCTGAGACATGGAAGTGGGGCGCCACGTTGGCAGCCAGCTACTCAGCCAGCCTTGAGGTCTGGGAGGAGGAGACAGAGACATTCATTGGCAACATTGGAAAGAAACATTGATGCTCTCAGCCTTGCTGACAGCTACAAAGGAGTTCTCAGGAGGCAGGGTGTTTCGTAGCTTCGGGAGACCAGCCCACCATGGCAGTCAGCAGTTCCCTAGCTGCCTGATAGACTGTTTCTTTTTGGTAAATGGCTATTAACAATGTGTCCTTGTTTCAATAGATATTCAGAACATCCTGTATATAATTCTTCACAGTTTATAAAGCTCTGTCGCATTTATTATCTCACTTCTGCCTTATAACTTCTCTTTGTTAATGGTTATCATAATTTATGTTCAAGAAGATTAAAGGGAGAAATGTCTTTTAACTAATGTTTCAGCTATCCTTTGCTGTCCCCAGGACTAGATGTTCCTTAACAGTAGGACAAATTCCCATGCCATCTGCCCTCCTGGCAGGGCACTGGTTGGTGTTTATGTGCACCCTCTTCCAAGCCCCTAGAAGTGCAGAACATTGTGTTGTGCCCAACTGATCTCTCGGGTAATCATGGAGGCAGGCAGCAGGAGGTGGGAGACCTGGGTTCAAGTTCTATTATGGTTCACTGACAGGACACAGGTTGCCTCTGGTCTTGTTTTCTAGATTGTAAAATGAGTAGAAAGATCACCTATGTCCTCACCTCCCATGGCATGCAGCAAAACAGATTACTCATCCTGCTTTCTCTTTCACACCCAGTGATCTTAAGTCATTGCAAGATAGAAGTTAAAAGCACCAGATTTGGGGTTACACACACACACCCTCCTGGATCATGGTGTTATCAGTGATGAGCAGAATGGCTTTGGCCCACTAAATAACCTGTCTTTGAGCATCTATATATGTAAGGAAACCTGTAAGTTGCCCAGTACAAATGAGATGCTCAATGAATGACAGTTTGTATCATTCCCTTTTAACCCCACTTGATATTTTTCTTTTCTTGAATTCTGCCTGAGTTACAGACAGCATAGATATCTACAGCTACAGAAAGGGCCTGTGAACACTGGCATAGTCAAGATAGGGAACTCTAAGGGGGAATGAGGGGAACCATTACCAATCCCCTTGGCACACACTGGGCATCCTGATACATCATTTGAAGCACAGAATTTTAGATTAGGATGTTTCCTTAGGAATCATCTATTCTAGCTTCTGTATTTTACAGATGAGCAAACTGATGCCCAAAGAGGTCACACAGGTTAGAAAAAAGAAACAGAACTAGAACCCCTTATCTCAAATCCAGGTTTCTCTCCCCGAACCTTCCAGCCTCAGCTTTTCAAGGTCAAACACACATATTCACAGAACATAACCACTTTTTCATACTTATCTCTGTTTTCTCAAGGGAGGTGTGATCTAAAGCCAGGTCAGAGTTCCAATTTTAGCACTGTCACTTACTAGCAATGTGACTATGGGCACATTATTTAGCTTTTCTGTGTCAAAGCTTCCTCATCTTTAAACGGGAGTAATAATGTCTACCTCATAGGGTTGCTATAAAGGTTAAATGAGTTAATGCATCTAAAGCACATAGAATAATGCCTAGCACAAGATAAACTCCCAATAAACTTTCTTTCCCCCCAGCTAAATAAGTTGTCTACATTCCTAGTATTTTGCAAGTAGCAACTCTCAGTGGATGTTTGAAGTTTGAAAGAAAAACAGGTTGCAGCTGGGAGTGGTACATCAATGGTTTTGGCCAGATGAAAGTTGTCAATCTCAATCGATCTAATCCTAGGGAGACTCAGAATCCTCTTATCATTCTACTGCAATTCCTTGTAGCCTTGAAGCACAGGGACCAAGACCACAGGATTTTGCCAGCCTTAAAAGACAATTTTTTTTCTCCAAATCAGGCTGTGACAAGTCCGGTCACAACATTGTCCTGTTACTGCCCAAAGCAGAGCTCAGGAGAAACGCTGCCCATGGCACAGCATCACGGACTGCTCAGCAGATATTCCTCGGTGGGAGAATTACTTTGCCTTCCTTCTTCACCAAAAACGTTACAAGTAAAGCACTGGAAATAGTGCCTGGCACACTGTATGTGCTCAAAACTATTGGGGAAATATGGGCTGGGGTGGGAAATTGAGGCAAGGAGCAGAAAAGACATTCAGCCATGAACTTAACCTGGCTAGGATGGTCTCTGTTGACCTGATGGTGGTGAAGCAGAAGGGGTTCTGTGCTGGGAGAGAATCCTGTTCTAGACCTCTGTGATCTTGGGCAAATCTCCTGACTTCTAGGGACACAGCGTCTTTATTTGTAAAAAGAAGCTGAACTACCTGCATCTCCTTCAGCTGGAACATTCTGCTTCCCTAAGTCCTTTAAAGCATTGCAAATTTCCTCTTGGAAAAGTCATCTTTGAAAGTAAAATATTCCTCTGGACATTTCTTTTGAGCTACTTATTATGATTATAAAGTTAATTAGTTTTGTGGGCTTCCAGTTCTGCAGGTCTGAAAAACACAGGAGTACTGGATCCAAGAAAGGCCCAGTTCTGGTGAAACCAAGGCTCGACTGGGAGCTGAGTCATTCTTCTCGTAGCAACTTTTTCTTGCTCCTATCAGATTGCGAACTGCTAGTCACACCACCTACAGGTGGTATCCCAAACCTGATGCCCTTGAGAGATGGGTAACAAATCCCCATAGCTCTAAATTTTAAAGCACTGCATTAAAGATGTTGTTATGATGATTAAAAGCACTATCAACTAGATCACATGCGGCTACGTGTCTTGGTGGGCGACAGCTAAAGAAAGCCCGTGATTCCATGCCAATTTCAGCGTGGTGGAGACCTCTCCAGTCTCTCCACACCGTCTCTTTGCCGGGCGGAGGGAGAAGGCTCTCTCCATCCCCACGACCGCCGTTCTGGGACAAGTCAAGACGAGCACGCCCGTCTACTACCCCCGCACCCGCGTCCCACAAGCTTGCTTTCGGGGATCTCAGACATCAACGCGGAATCTCTCGAGAGGCCAGAGGAGAATGAGGGGCACTCGCGAGGACTAAGGTGGAAACCCAGGATCCCCGGGTTACGGGCGAGCGCATCTCCCATGGCTCCCCCGGCTCAGCCGCGGGCTCTTCTGGGCAAATGCAAAGCAAGCAGCGCACCCACCCCCCCGCCCTCTCCGGAGGCCGACCTGGAAAAGGAAGGGCGGGAAGGTGTCTACCACTGTTCCTCAGCCACAGACAGTCCCAGGATCATGGCCCAGAGAGAGAGAGAAAGAGAGAAAGGGACAGGATTAACTCACTGCTGCTCCAGATCATCAGCCATAGTAAACAAGCCCTGCCAGGTCCAGGCGAGCCCGCCCAGCGCTTGACGCCAGCACCAGCTGACCCGGGAGGCCGTGGGGAACAAGGGGGCGTGGCTGCGCAGGGGGCAGGGCTCGCGGCCTGCGGGTGGGACTCTCAAACTCCACAACTTGGTTTGAACTAGTGGGGCCTTGCTATGTTTTCAATCACTGGCATGTGTCCAGGCAGAGATGCCTCTGAGGGTCTCAGAATAGCACGGTAATCCTGGTCATACATTTGGTGGGGGGGGTTCCTGCAGGAGCTCTATCAGCCCTCCGTTCTCTAATACCTAAAAAGTGACAGAACTACTCCTGCACGCTGGCACCCATTCTTTGGGCTTCCTATTATAACTGTGTCGTACTGAAATTGACCCTTGTTAGTGTTCCTTCTAATGAGAGGCTTAAATGTTTGTGGAGACAACACCATTGGCTGAATGCTCCTACAAAGGGCCTGGATGCCAGATTGCAAAACAAAAAATCAGGACACCTAGTTAAATGTAAATTCTAGATTTAAATAAAGCAAATAGTTTTTTAGAATCAGTATGGGCCATGCAGTATTTGGGACATAACTAGGCATCCTGTATTTTCTCTGGCAACCTTAAACCTATATAATGTCTGCTAAGATGGGCATTTCTCTGCTCTGGGGGTGACTCTAGCCCCAGCCTATTTTCCAGGGAAAATATAGCTCAACTCTAGGTCACCTTCAGTTTGGAAGATAACGGTTGAAGGACTCACCTATAAGGCTAGGTCTGCTTAGGTACGTAAGTGTCTGGACAGGGAGATAAGGCTGGCTTGGTCCAGAGGTCCTGAGCGAACTTCAGGTTTGCTCAGCAGGGGAGCCAAGTTTTGAGGCTGGCTGCAGAATTTGCTTATGCTGGTAAACAGGGCCTGATCTCCCTTGAGCTGTCAGATTTCATATCATCCCCTTAATTAAAACCAGACCATGGGGTTGGAGGGGGGCTCATGCCTGTAATCCCTGCACCTTGGGAGGCAGAGGTGCGCAGATCACTTGAGGTCAGGAGTTCGAGACCAGCCTGGCCAACATGGTGAAAACCCATCTCTACTAAAAATACAAAAAATTAGGTGGGTGTGGTGACAGGCACCTATAATCCCAGCTACTTGGGAGGCTGAGGCAGGAGAATCACTTGAACCCAGGAGGAGGAACTTGCAGTGAGCCAAGATTGCACCACTGCACTCCAGTCTGGGTGACAGAGTGAGACTCTGTTTCAGAAAACAAAAACAAAAACAAAACCAGACTAGGGAGTGGTGGAGGATGAGTGAGAGAATGCTGGTGCAGAGGGGTTGATCAAGGAATTTTTCTTTAGCCTTCCTGCAGGACCCAGAAGATTCTGAGATTTCTACTTTGTTGCAAAACAGTGTTAAGCTGATCACTATAAAGATTTATCGTTTAAGAGAATCAGCATTTATAGAGTTTAGGGGCTTAGGAATTTGCCAGATGGGGTGTGAAGTAATACAACTAGCAGAGGACTTGTCTCTTTCATGAAATATTTTTTTTTTTTTTTGAGACTGGTTCTCACTGTCACCCAAGCTGGACTGCAGTGGCATGATCATGGCTCACTGCGGCCTTGAACTCCTGGGCTCAAGGGGTCCTCTTGCCTCAACATTCCAAATAGCTGGGACTACAGTTGACCAGATATATATATATATATATATATATATATATATTTTTTTTTTTTAGTTTTTGTAAAGATGGGGTCTTGTTATTTTGCCCAGACTGGTCTCAAACTCCTTGGCTCAAGCTATCCTTCCGCCTTGAGCTCCCAAAGTACTGGCGTTACAGGGGTGAGCCAACAAAGTTGCCTTCATTCCATCTTTCAACAAAACACAGTGGTCTTAAACTTCAGTATGCATAAGAATCACCTGATGGATTTATTAACAATTCAGATTTCTAATCCCTACCCCCTGAGATTCGGATTCAGCTGGTTTGGCTTGATGCTAGAAAGCTGCATTTGTAGGAAGCACTGCAGATACTGGTGCTCCATGAGACTCACTGGTTAGTTAGAAGTGTAGATTCTGAAGTCAGAAGCCTGGGTTAAGGTCAGTATTTGCTTTGCCACTTATCCATTTTAAGCCATTGGGCAAGTTATTTAGCATCTCTTAATTTCTTCCTCTGGCTTGTGTATGGTGAGAATTAACCAAGATAATTCAAATAATCATGTAGTACACTTACTTGTGCTATGAATATTACTTATTGTTGTTGTTGCTATTATTCAAAGCCAAGAATTATGTTGAGCACTAAAAATACAATTATCCAGCCTGGGCATTATAGCAAGACTCTTGTCTCTACAAAAATGAAAAAAATTAGCTGGGCATTGCAATGCATACCCATAGTCACAGCTACTTGGAAGGGTGAGGCAGGAGGATCACTTGAGTCTAGGAGTTAGAGGTTACAGTGACCTATGATCCCACCACTGCACTCTAGCCTGGGTGATGGAGTCAGACGTTGTCTCTAAAAAAAGAAACAACAAAACAATTATCAAAAGGAAAGAAATAACCTGTTCTAATGGTAAACACAGACTTTTTATCTGTTGCTACCCTCGGTCGTTCTGGGCTTTGCAGAGCTGATAACTTTGTCTTCAGAACTCGGCTGAAACCCCCTCTTCTGAGGCATTTCTTGACTGTAGGATCTAAAGAGCACCCCCCATCACTCTCTCACATTACCCTATTTTTGTTTTCTTCATAACACTTATCATTATCTGAAATTATCTGGCATTGTTTTTACTCATTAATTATCAGTTTCCTTCCGTTCAGAGACTAAGTTTCCTGGGGAACCCTCTCTGTCTTGTTATCTGCTGTGCTCCCAACACCTAGAACAAAGTGCAGCAGAGTAGGCACTCAGTTTTTGTTGGGTAAATGAAGAAAAGTCTAGAGAAAAGGCAGAAGCATAAACGATTACCTATGAAACAATATGCTAAATGCCAAATGCTTTGGGAGCTGCATTCTAAATTGTACCAAATAGGAAATTCCATATGATATCACTCCCAGACAGGACAATAAAAAATTTCCCACTTTTCTGAAAAACTATAAGTTGTGGAATTTTTTGAGGCAAGGACGACTGCATTGGAACTGGTATTAGATCTCTCTAGAGCCTGCCTTCCTTCCTTCCTTCCTTCCCTCCTTCCTTCCTTCCTTTTCTTTCCTTTTCTTCCTTCCTTTCCTCCTTCTCTCCTTCTTTCTTTCTTCAAGAATATTCTTTCTTTCTTCAATAATATTCTGTTTTTTCAAGAATATTCACGGGTAGTGCCATGTACATCCTATTGTATCACAATACAAGACACATAATGTCTGATTGTCCCATTTTTAGTGGTACTAAAGCTAATCCAGGAGGACCAGGTGTTGCCATACTGATACATCCATTAGAAAGTTCCCCATCAACTTTTCACCTCATGGCTTTCATATTCTTTCATGATATTTGCATAGAACCATTTTTTAAAATAATGATTGAGTTTCAATTATAATACTATATTTCATCAACCATTATTTTGAATCTCAAACTATCTTAGTAAACTTTTCTAATAGAAATATCCTACATAGTACTATATTGATTTTTAATTTAAATGTTTTGTAATTATGCAATGTGTTCATTACAGACAATTTGGCATATGTAAAATATAAATTTGAAATAAAGTCACCCCCAATTTTTGCACCAAAAAAAAAAAAAAAAAAAGAAAAAAAGATCTCTCTAGATCATTCCCTAGGAGGCGTGCAGAGAAGTGTTTGTATTTTGTTTTCATGTGCTAAACCAGCTTTAAAGTAGAGGTTTCTTGGAAGTAGGAAACTTGAATGGATGGAGAATGCCTTTTGTAACCCAAGTTACTAGTTTTTAAGGTATTCCCAGTGCTGATATATCTCAGGATTGGGCTGGATCTGCTAGAATTATAGAGTAAAGAGGTCTCTCGGTGCCTACTCTAGACAGACCTCTGGGGAGAAAATGTAAGTTATTTTTTTCTCCTTATCATTAGGACAAAGCACACCAGAGCAAGTGTGAGACTCTAACGAGTGCGGATGGAAATTAATTTAACAAATCTGAAACCACCTTTGCAAAATTATGACTGAGACAGTGAAAGAGATCTAACTTACTGACTCCATCTTGCTTCTAACTTCCAGGCTGTCCTAGTTCATTGCTGGGCATAGGCTGAACTAACTTTGGGAGAAGCTTAGTTTATAGTTTGTGGTTTGTGACAGAGATGGTAACAGCCCTTTCCCAAAGCAGACCTCCTTGTTGCCTGGGGACTAGATTGCATTTGTAGGAGTAACACTAGCCACAGGATTGAAAATTATGGTTTGGGAGTCATGCAGCCAGAGGCTATAAGATTCTGACCCTCCCTAGACTGCTCCTAAGATCAGTGCTTGAGATATTTTGAGGACCCTGCACTTGATGGATCAGCTGGCACCACTCAGATGGATGAACTGGCTCATCTCATCTTGTGCTCCCCCCGACACACAGGAACTTACTCAGTGCAAGAAGACAGGTTCGACTCCCTATTATTTCATCCCTGACCAATCAGGACTCCTGGCTCACTGGATTCCCCCAACTGACCAACTTGTCCTTAAAAACTCTGATCCCCGAAAGCTTGGGGAGACTGATTTGCGTAATAATAAAACTCCGGTCTCCTGCACAGCCAGCTCTGCATGAATTATTCTTTCTCTATTGTAATTGCCCGGTCTTGATGAAGTGGCTCTGTCTAGGCAGCGGGCAAGGTGAACCCCTTGGGAGGTTACAAATGCTCTTTATATGACTGTAAGTCATCATCAAGTATTCCAAAAGTAGGGGGAGCTGATAAACTGATAGCTCAAGGCCTGGCAGGTATAGATTATTCTTTTGTTTCAAATGGGTATCACTTCCATTTGAATTAACTATGAACAAGGTATGACTCTTTGATTAAACATAGAAATGAGTAGAATAGCTCATAAGTTGCTCTGTCCAGTGACAGCCACTAGCCACAAGTGGCTACTTAGATTTAAATAAAGCCAAATAAAATTTCCTTAGTCACATTGTAATGAAGCATCCCCATTTTTCTTTTTTCTTTTCTTTTTTTTTTTTTTTGAGACGGNAACTCCCCACACAAGAGATGAAGCCCGAGAGAAAAGAGTTGAAGGGGAAGGTCCCCACGAGGAGACAATAACCGAATTGCAGCGCCCCGGTCAGCAGTATATACAGCAGGTACGCGTCCAGTAACTTCAGACGCTGCGGAGTAGAGCTCAAGTACTCTTCTAAGAACCGCGAAATGACAGACACTACCGATGCCGACATGACTGCACACAAGATTCTCCGATCAAGACCCGACGACCACACCGGATGTATTGTTTGCGCGTGCGCACCGTCGTGGCCTAGCTCCGCCCTCCCTGGCGTGCCCGGTTTGCGCAGGCGCTTAGGTAGGCCAGGGCGCGTGACAACTAATGCGCAGACGCAGACTGCCTTAACAGAAAGAACTACAACTCGGAAAAGTTAGTGCGTCTGCGCAATGGCCCTATCAATGAGCTGGAGACGTGTACTCTTTTGTTCTGTTTCCGCCGTCAGATTGGTGACGCCCACAGTTGCTCTGGCAACAAGACACTGTGGGAGGAAGAGGGGAATAAGTTTTAGTGGGGACGGCGCAACAAACCAGAGGGTTCCGGCTTTCTTTGATCCTTCGGAGTCCTGGAAGATTTAACGGTTTGCATCTACTTTGAGGCAATGCCTGGCTTTCGTGGGGGTTTGGTACCAGCCTGACCCTAATTCTGTTAAGAGCCCTGTCTGCAGATGTCTGTCACAGATGATTGGAGCAAGCCAAGTTCCTCCGCAGTGAGACCCGCGGCGGCCAATCACTGCGCAGGCCCCAATTTAGACTTGATACTGGGGATAGTGAGTGGGTGCGGTGTGGGGCGGAAGCAGGGAGGGAGCCTGACCTCTGCTGGGTTCCGAACTGGAACTCGGGATCTGGCCCTGCAGTGCCAACATTTATTGGGCGCCTTCTCGGGGCCCGACATTGTACTAACTTGTAAGGACTCTCACATGAATCCGATATACTTGCAGCCTTAAAAGAGCTGGTGAAGGGAAAGATAGCTGTCGAATATCGTGCAAAGAGTATGTCATCAAGTTTAGCAGCTCTTTCCGCAAGCTGGTATCTTGAACCTGGTGTAATATCCCAGGATGTCAGCGCTGAAAGGCCTAAAAGAACATGCGTTGGTTCAATCCTACTCCCTCCAATACATTTTGCAGAAGAAACTGAAATGATTCCAGGTTTTTTGTTTGTTTGTTTGTTTTGAGACGGAGTTTCGCTCTTGTTACCCAGGCTGGAGTGCAATGGTGCAATCTCGGCTCACTGCAACCTCCGCCTACTGGGTTCAAGCAATTCTCCTGCCTCAGCCTCCCAAGTAGCTGGGACTACACGCACACACCACCATGCCCAGCTAATTTTTTGTATTTTTAGTAGAGACGGGGTTTCACCATGTTGACCAGGATGGTCTCGATCTCTTGACCTCCTGATCCACCCGCCTCGGCCTCCCAAAGTGCTGGGATTACAGGCTTGAGCCACCGCGCCCGGCGCATCCCCATTTTTCTAAGAGATAGTTTAATGATTTAAAAAAAATCTCTTTTTTTCTCTTTCCTCCTTCTCCTTACTTCCTCCTTAGCTCTTTAGAAATGCAACTATAGTCTTTTTACCTCCTCTTTACCAGACACTCCCTATGGGGCAAGTTCATCTAACTATGTGCTTAGAAGCTCCAGAGAGGAACTCTTACCCACCAGGAGGCTGCCGTGAGAACAGTCCATCTACAACCCCAAGTATGCCTGCTACAAAGCTCTCTCTTATTTGGAGAGTTTTGGCCACTTTTAGAACCTAGTCCTGCCCACAAAAGGCACCAGCAGTCACTGTCCAGTAGATAAGGCACTGAAGGTAGTATGCAGACCGACCCCTCAACCGCTAGCTTCCTCCCCTGTGTACCATTTATGCCAGTGTTCCAGGCCCCCTTTCAAAAGCACCCTCTTTCTGCTCCAAAAGTGAAGTTGTACCCTTAAGGCAGAAACTCTGTGCTTCTTCCCTTAAGGTAGCTTTGGAATAAAATGTCATTTTCTTTATAACACATCTCATTCTTGTTAATTGGACTCTGCAAGCAGCGAGAGTCTGAACCTGCATGCGGGTTATAACACTAACGGTAGTTTAAGTGCTCAATAGCCACATACGTGTAGCAGCTACTATACTGGGCTGTGCAGAGACATTATCACAGAAAATTCGATTGCACAATGTTGCTCAGGCACTGATGATTTCAGCCCCATGTTGTGGTGAGTGATCTGCTCTTGGAAAGGACAATATGGTGGACTCACTTTTAGGTGCTAGCAAGGGAGCAAAACAGGCTTTTATGAGACTCCCAAACAGCTAGGAGAGAGGGAAATCAGACAAAGGAGCTGAAAAGTTGTTCCACTTCATTAGAAACTGAAAGGATGAAGGGATATGGGTTCACTGAAGATATTTACTGCTTTACTAGGACTTGATCAGAAACTTGATACTTAAAAAATTTGTGCTGTTTGTAACTTGATTCTCCTTAAATTTTTATTTTTTGAAAACAATAACCTGTTTTATCTGTTCTAATAGGAAACAGGAGAGGGGGTTTTGGTCACATTGGGGCCAAAGTTTAAAAGGTAGAGGTGTTATGTGCAATACAAGTAAACAGAAGCAAAGATGGGGATCTTAGGGCAAAAGTGACAATACAAGGGAAAGGAACTGGAAAAGACATTCTTTTCCATGCAGAGATTTCCTTTAGAAGAGATATTTTCTACTCAGACTTTGGAGGATTTGTGTTTATTTTGGTAAAGAATGTGATTTCTTTTTGTAGAGAGACGTATGATGTAAAATCATGCACTTTGCCCCTTAAGGGAACCCTCTTGCTCCTACAGTTTTCCATTGTTTTATGATATTGAAAATTTTAGTCACGAAACCCCTAAAGTATACTCTGACTCCAGTTTCAGCTTATAAATTAGATCTGCTCTTTAAGAGCCATTTGAGTTGTAGTCCCTCCAGTGCTATCTTTTGCATACCCAAATTATTGGGGTGGTGCTATATGGTTTGGCTAACTTTTAATCATTCAGAGAAACAGGAGAAGCATAGTTACTAGGATTAATGATAGCTAATAAGAGCAAACATTTACTGCCTGCCAAACACTATACTAAGTACTTAATGCTTAACATTATCTCATTTAATCCTCACATCATTTCAATGATCCAGGTATTGCTATTTCCATTTTATAGAAAAGGAAAATGAAACTGTCAGACTGAATAACTTGTTCCAGATTAGAAAACTAGTAAACAGCAGACTCAAGGTTCAAACCTAGGACTGATTCTAGAGCTTGCACTTCTATCCACTCCTCTGGACAAGAATTTTTAACTATATTAACATTCTGATTTAAACTAATTGAAACCAACACTAGCGTTAGCAATTTCCTGTTGACAGATCAGTTAAAAATGTTTCGATGAATATAGAATACTAAACCAAACAGAGAACTAGGCCTTTTCTTGCTGTTTTAAGTAGTTCAGAAAAGCCGTAGTGTGGTATATTGGTGTGACTAGCAGGTCTCAGAAACAAATGCATTCGGTAAGTGCATTTGATGCTTTTCATCTTGTCTTCTCTCCTGTGAGAGTTCCTGGGGAGATCTTAATGATGCTAGTTGACATGGATCAAAGGCAGACAAAACATAAGGGAGAAACTACTGGAATGAGGCTGGCTGATGGAATAGAAACTCCCTGAAGAATTCACTCCTGAATGATTAAAAAGCATCCATCAGCCTAGCCTGTAGTTTGAAGTTGACTATTCGCGAGGAAGCTTCCTTCCTACTTGTTGATGAGGCAGAGAGAAAGGTTTAACTTGTCAGAGAAATTGATGCTTCCTGCCATATTATATTGAAATAGGAACCAGCTGGTTATCCACTCTTTTTTTTTTTCCTTCTCAGCAACATAGGTTTAGGCTGAACTTATGTTTATGTGGCTATGCAAATCTCTGTGGGTATGAATATGAATCTATCTCTTCAAGTAGACTGTAAAGGTTTCTTAGGTTATTTCTCTTCTTTCTAGAACCTAAGTGTGGCTTTGCTCCTCACTGATAATACATTTGTTAATGCTATAGAGTTTCCAGTCTAAAGGCAAATAAAAAGTGAAAAGGGGCCGGTGCAGTGACTTACTCCTCTAATCCCCACACTTTGGGAGGCCAAAGTGGGCAGATCACCTGAGGTCAGGTGTTCGAGACTAGCCTGGCCAAAATGGTGAAAACCCGTTTCTACTAAAAATACAAAAATTAGCCGGGCATGATGGCAGGTGCCTGTAATCTCAGCTACTCGGGATGCTGAGGCAGCAGAATGGCTTGAACCCAGGATGGGGAGGTTGCAGCGAGCCGAGATCGTGCCATTCATTGCACTCCAGCCAGGGCGACAAAGGCAAAACTCCGTTACACACACGCACACACACACACACGCAAATGTGAAAAGTAGGAAGGCTCGTTGTTCACTTGCTGTTTTAGGGATTTTGCTCACCTATAGTTCAAAGTTATTAAGAAGCTGAAAATAAAGTACCTGGTTATGTGTGTAAAAACTTGCAGCTAAAAGGTGAGATGAACTAGGCCTAGAAGGTCGGATTCATGTGAAATTAAAAGGCAACGAAAGCCAGAACTTAGTTTTTTAAAAAGCTAAAAGGCTAAACACAATTCCACTTGTTAAAATACAAAACCTGGGCCGGGCGCGGTGGCTCACGCCTGTAATCCCAGCACTTTGGGAGGCCGAGGCGGGTGGATCA